AATTTCCGAGGTGGCTTTTTGCCCAGAGGCCTCCCTCCGCTCGCTCTCTTCCTTCCTTCTCTTTTTTGCCTTTTATCTTCCATTTTCATGAGCGATCAAAGGATTGGACCTCTGCACATGCTCAGAGCCATGATTATTATTATCATTAGCCTCACTGGCTGTAATAGCATGCCCTCTGCCCATGCTCAGATGTCCCCTCATTGGCTGTAATTGCGTGCACTCTGCACATTCTCAGAAGGTATCTCATTGGCTGTAGTGGCATGCCTTCTGCACATGCTCAGAGGCACACACTGGCTGTAATGGAGTGCCCTCTGCACATGCCCGGAGATAGCCTCACTGTCTAATCATGGAATGCTCTCTGCTCATGCTCAGAAGTTCTCTCATTGGCTGTGATGGAGTGCCTTCTGCACATGCTCAGAGGCACTCTCCTTGGCCTCACTGGTATGCCCTCTGCACATGCTCAGAGGTTCTCTCATTGGCTGCAATGGAGCGCCTTCTGCACATTTTCAGAGGCACTCTCCTTACCCGCATTGGCTGTAATGGAATGCCTTTGGTGCATGCTCAGAGGCACCCTCCTTAGCATCACTGGCTTCTCATTAACCTCAATAATGAGGTTGACAGGAAGCTCTCTGCACATGCTCAGAGGTTCCCTCATTGGCTATAATGGGCATGCCCTCTGCACATGCTCAGAGGTTCCCCGATTTGCTGCAATGGAATGCTGTCTGTACGTGCTCAGAGGCACCCTCCTGAGCATCATTGGCTGTAATGGCATGCCCTCCGCACATGCTCAGAGGTTCCCTCATTGGCTGCAATGGAACGCCTTCTGCACATGCTCAGAGGCACCCTCCTTAGCATCACTGGCTTCTCATTAACCTCATTGACTAATAATGAAATGCCCTCTGCACATGCTCAGAGGTACCCTCATTGGCTATAATGGAGTGCCCTCTGCACATGCTCAGAGGTACCCTCATTGGCTATAATGGAGTGCCCTCTGCACATGCTCAGAGGCACTCTCCTTGGCCTCATTGGCTGCAATGGAATGCCTTCTGCACATGCTCAGAGGCACCCTCCTTGGCTTCTCATTAGCTTCACTGACTAATAATTAAACGCCCTCTGCACATGTTCAGAGGTTCTCTCATTGGTTATAATGGAGTGCCCTCTTCACATGCTCAGAGGCATTCTCCTTGGCTTCTCATTAGCCTCATTGACTAATAATAAATACCCTTTGCACATGCTCAGAGGTATCCTCATTGGCATTAATGGAGTGCCCTTTGCACATGCTCAGAGGCACTCTCCTTGGCCTCACTGACTAATACTGAAATGCCCTCTGCACATGCTCAGAGGTTGTGTTATTGGCTATAATGGCGTGCCTTCTGCCCATGCTCAGAGGCCCTCTCTCTCCATGATGTCCTTCCTTTGTCAGGCGCGGCAGCAGTCCCAGCTGCGCCAGCAGATGGCGGAAGAGAGCAAAGGGGAGTACTCCTCCGCGCTGCAGCGGTTCAACCAGGAGCAGCGCGACCACTACCACACCCACATCCCCAGCATCTTCCAGGTACGCCGCACACCCCAAAGCCCAGCATCCCCAAAGCCCATTCGCTGTTGGACAGCACGGAGCAGATATAAAGTTTGCCAAGTCCATCAGCGAGGGTCGCTGCATAGAGGTGGCCTGGCTTCTGTTGCCTGGAGGCTCCCTTTAGGTAACCTCATTGGTTACCTAGGCAACAGAAGCCAGGCCACCTCTATGCAGAGACCCTCGCTGATGGACTTGGCAAACTTTATATCTGCTCAATGCTATTCAAGCTGGCTAATTGCAACAACAGCCAGGCGACTTCTATGCAGAGGCCCTCGCTGATTGACTTGGTGCAATTCAAGCTTCCCTACATTTTGCAGAAAATCCAGGACATGGAAGAGCGGCGGATCGTCCGGCTGGGGGAGTCCATGAAGACCTTTGCGGAAGTCGACCGGCAGGTCATCCCCATCATCGGGAAGTGCCTGGACGAGGTCACCAAGGCCGCCGAGGCCATCGACCAGAAGAAGGTGGGACATAGAGATATATATATATCTCATATATATAAGTATATATATGAGATATTGTATGCTAGATTTGGATGGGACCCTCAGAGACTATCCAGCCAAGCCCCATTGTTCTTAAGTGGGAGCTGCTTGCAAGTCGAGGAAGTTGGCCTGTGTGTGTATATATGTATGTGTGTGTGTGTGTGTGTGTATATGTAGGAGATATGGTATGTTAGATTTGGAAGGGACCCCCAAAGGCCATCCGGTTCACCCTTGGGGAAGATCCCCCTGCCTTTCCTGGGGACCTTGGCCTGTGTGTGTTTGTGTATGTATGTATGTATGTATATGTGTGTGTGTGTGTGTGTGTGTGTGTGTATGTATATGTATATATGTATATGTAGGAGATATAGTATTTTAGATGTGGAAGGGACCCCCAAAGGCCATCCAGTCCACCCTTGGGGAAGATCCCCCTCCTTTCTGGGGACCTTCGCCTGTGTGTGTGTGTGTGTATATGTGTATGTGTGTATATGTATGTATGTATGAGATACAGTATGATATATTTGGAATTGACCCCCAAAGGCCATCCGGTCCACCCTCGGGGAAGATCCCCCCCTTCCTGGGGACCTGGGCCTGTGTGTGTTTGTGTATGTGTACGTATGTGTGTGTATATATATATACACACACACATACATACATACATACATACATACACAAACACAAACATCTTCCCTAAGGGCGGACTGGATGGCCTTTGGGGTCCCTTCCAAATCTATCATACTGTATGTCATATATATACATATATACATATACATACACCACACACACACACACACACACACACACAGATACAGATGTATGTACATGTATGTATATATGTATATGTATGAGATACAGTATGATAGATTTGGAAGGGACCCCCAAATGCCATCTGGTCCACCCTCGGGGAAGATTCCCCCCCCCTTCCTGGGGACCTGGACCTGTGTGTGCTTGTGTATGTGTGCATATATATATATCTATGAGATACAGTATGATAGATTTGAAAGGGACCCCCAAAGGCCATCCGGTCCACCTTTGGGGAAGATCCCCCCCTTCCTGGGGACCTGGGCCTGTGTGTGTATATGTATATGTATATATATATATATATGAGATACAGTATGATAGATTTGGAAGGGACCCCCAAAGGCCATCCGGTCCACCTTTGGGGAAGATCCCCCCCTTCCTGGGGACCTGGGCCTGTGTGTGCTTGTATATGTGTGTGTATATATATATATATATGAGATACAGTATGCTAGATTTGGAAGGGACCCCCAAAGGCCAACCGGTCCACCCTCGGGGAAGATCCCCCCCTTCCTGGGGACCTGGTCCTGTGTGTGTTTGTGTGTATATATATATATATATATATATATGTATATGTATGAGATATAGTATGATAGATTTGGAATTGACCCCCGGTCAACCCTTGGGGAAGATCCCCCCCCCTTCCTGGGGATCTTGGCCTGTGTGTGTATATATGTTTACGTATGAGATACAGTCTGCTAGATGTGGAAGGGTCCCCCAAAGGCCATCCATGAGAGCCCACCCGCGTTGTGTTCCGTGTGTGCTTGGCAGGACTCTCAGTGTGCGGTGGAGGCCTTCAAGTCGGGCTTTGAGCCCCCCGGGGACGTGGAGTTTGAGGACTTTGGCCAGCCGCTGAAGCGGGCCTCCTCTGAGTCCAGCCTGGCCGCCCAGCCGGGCAAGGAGGGCAAGGCCGGGAGCAAGGCCAAGGGCAAGCTCTGGCCCTTCATCAAGAAGAACAAGGTACGCGTGTCCACACCGCACAGTTAACCCACTTTCAGACAGACCAGCGCCCCAAACTCCTGGGAGTCTAGAAAGTATTGCCACAACCACAACTCCCAGGATTGCAAGATAGTGAAAGTGGGTTCGAATCACTGTGTAAATACAATCCTTGAGTATCTTTACATCTCATATACAATTCATTTAAAATCCCTGCAATGAAGTCTCCTTTTGTTTCCTTCTTCTCTCTTTTCTTTCTTTCTCTCTCGTTCTTTCTTTCTTTTCCCCGTTTTGTTTATTAATAGCCAATGTCTTTTTTTTTCTTTTAGTAACTGAATGTAATGCAGTTTTCTTTTTCTTTATTATTATCTTGTAATTTCAAAAAATAATAATTTCAGTGTATAAACTTTGGCTTGGTTTATATCTCATCGGCTCGTTTTCTTTCTTTTCCTGGTCGTTTCCCGTATTGTTTCCCCACTGAGTTCCAATCAGGTTTGCTCTCTTTAATTTTAATTATTTAAACCTATTTTATTATATTATTTATTTTATTAGTATTTAAACCAATTTTAATTTAATATTTATTTTATTATTATTTTTAGTTATTTTAACTTATTTTATTTTAATGTTTCCTTCATTATGATTATTTTCTATTAGACTTCTTTATTTTAATATTTATTTTATTTATTTTATTAAATAAATAAAATATTTATTTAATAAATATTTTATTAGTATTTAAACCAATTTTAATTTAATATTTATTCTATTATTATCAATTTTAGTGCAATTATTTAAACTTATTGTATTATTATTTTTAATTATTTTAACTTATCTTATTTTAATGTTTATTTCATTATGATTATTTTCTATTCAACTTCTTTATTTTAATATTTTAATATTTATTTATTTTATTATATTATTTTTATTAGTATTTAAACAAATTTTAATTTAATATTTATTCCATTATTATTATTAGACTTCTTTATTTTAATATTTATTTTATATATTATTTATTTCTATTAGTATATAAACCAATTTTAATTTAATATTTATTTTATTATTATTAATTTTAATGCAATTATTTAAACGTATTTTATTATTATTTTTAATTATATTTACTTATTTTATTTTAATGTTTATTTCATTATTATTATTATTTTCTATTAAACTTCTTTATTTTAATATTTATTTTATTTATTTTATTAGTATTTAAACCAATTTTAATTTAATATTTATTCTATTATTATTAATTTAATGAAATTATTTAAACTTATTGTATTATTATTTTTAATTATTTTAACTTATTTTATTTTAATGTTTATTTCATCATTATTATTTTCTATTAAACTTTAATTTTAATATTTATTCTATTAAAATTTATTTTATTAATACTAATTCAAACCTATTTTAGTATTTATTTTTAATTTAATTATTTACTTACTTTTTATTAATTTCAATTATTTTAACTTGTTGTAATATTTTTGTTTTTCTTATTTTAAATTTGTTTTATTTTTATATTTATTTTAGTATTTTTAATTATTTAAACTTATTGTATTTCACAATTTTTTTTCATTTCTTGCTTGCATTCTTTAACCCTTTTCTAGCCAATTAACAAGGCCCCTAATTTCACCATTGGCTCATTTCACTTCCAGAATATGTAATAATAGGTGCAAGACTAGAAATTGAAATTTTTGGCCCTCAATGATAACTCTCTGATTTCTTTCATGCTCCCTTCTCTGTTGTCTTCTACACTGTTGAACTGATGCGGTTTGACCCCACTTTAATTGCTATGGAGTCCTGAGAGATGTAGTTTTGCAAGGCTTTGCTCCCAGGATTCAATAGCACTGCATTAATTCAACAGTGTAAATGCCCTCCATGGCTTGGGCTATTGGCTTTTGCCATTTATTATTGCTATTATTATTATTATTATTATTTGCCTCCTTTTTATTTAATTTGGGGTTTGCTATTTTGCATTATGATGATGATGATGATTACCATTATTGCTATTATTTTATTTGGCTTTGCAGTTTTGTATTATTATTTATATTTTGCATTATTATTACCCCCCCCCCCCCTTTTATTTAATTTTGACTTTCCTATTTCGCACTGTTGTTGTTGTATTTGGGTTTGCATTATTATTATTTTGTTTGGGTTTCCTATTTTGCATTATTATTATTATTATTATTATTATTATTATTATTATGGCTTTGCAGTTGTGTATTATTATTATTACCATTACTTTATTTGGCTTTGCTATTTTGCATTATTATTATTATCATTACTATTCTCTGTTTTGTATTATTATTATTACTATTACTTTATTTGCATTATTATTATGGTTTTGCAGTTTTGTATTATTATTATCATTACCATTACTTTATTTGAGTTTGCTATTTTGCACTATTATTATTATCATTACTATAATTTTATTTGGCTTTGCTATTTTGCATTATCATTATTACTATTATTTTATTTGGTTTTGCTGTTTTGTATTAATTTTACTATTATTACTTTATTTGCATTATTATTATTATTATTATTATTATTATTATTATGGTTTTGCAGTTTTATATTATTACTATTTATTTAGGTTTGCTATTTTGCATTATCATTAGTATTATTGCTATAATTTTATTTGGCTTTGCTATTTTGTATTATTATTATTATTATTATTATTATTATGGTATTGAAGTTTTGTATTATTATTACTATTACTTTATTTAGGTTTCCTATTTTGCATTATCATTATTATTATTATTGCTATTATTTTATTTGGCTTTGCAATTTTGTCTTATTACTATTTTATATGCATTATTATTATTGCTGACTTTTTGCTATTCTGCATTATTATTATTATTATATTTTGCTTCGCTGTTTTGTATTATTATTATTATTACCACTATCACTTTATTTGCATTATTATTATTATTATTATTATTATTATTATTATTATTATGGTTTTGCAGTTTTATATTATTACTATTTATTTAGGTTTGCTATTTTGCATTATCATTAGTATTATTGCTATAATTTTATTTGGCTTTGCTATTTTGCATTATCATTATTACTATTATTTTATTTGGTTTTGCTGTTTTGTATTATTATTATTATTATTATTTTGCAGTGTATTATTATTACTATTACTTTATTTAGGTTTGCTATTTTGCATTATCATTATTATTATTGCTATTATTTTATTTGGCTTTGCAGTTTTGTATTATTATTACTATATGCATTATTATTATTGCTGACTTTTTTGCTATTTTGCATTATTATTATTATTATTATTATTATTATTATTTACTATTGCCATGTCTTTAGTAAGCTTTGCAGTGTTATGACTATCTCGATTTCTTTGGATGTCGCTGTGTTGCGTGCGTTGCCTTTTCTTTTGCGGAATTTTCTCCCGGGGTGTTTCTTTGTGTTTGCCTGACTTTTGGCCTTGTTTGTTTGTTTATTTGTTTGTTTGTTTGTGGGTGTGGCCAGCTGGTGTCGCTCTTGTCCAGCTCCCCCCGGCCCCCGGCGCCCCCTCCGCCCCCGCCCCCCCAGGGCCCCCCCGCTTCCTCTTCCTCTTCCTCTTCCTCCCCTTCTTCCTCCTCGGCTGGCCCCCCCAACGGCCCCCCCGCCTCCCCCAGGCCGCACAAGGAGCCCCTCTCCCACCGCTTCAACGACTTCATGGCCTCCAAGCCCAAAATCCACTGCTTCCGGAGCCTCAAGCGAGGGGTAAGTCCTGCTTCTCGCATTCTGCTGCCCTTGGGAGGCGTAGTTTGCCTCTCTGCATGCATGCATCATCTCTCTCGCTCTCTCTCTCTCTGGGTGCCTCTAACACCAGGCCTGGGCCAACTCCAGCCCTCCCTCCAGTTTTGCCACCCAGGGATGTGTAGTTTGACCATCCAGGGATTTGTAGTTTTTCCACTTTAGATGTGTAGTTTTACCACTCCAAGATGTGTAGTTTGCCACCTTGGGATACATAATTTTGCCACTCTGCTCAGATGCATAGTTTTGCTGCTCTGGATGTATAGTTTTGCCACTCTGGATGTGTAGTTTTGTCACTCTGGGATGTGTAGTTTTGTCACTCTGGGATGTGTAGTTTTGCCACTGCTGAGATGTGTAGTTTTGCCACTCTGCTGAGATATGTAATTTTGCCACTTCAGGATGTGTAGTTTTGCCACTCTGCTGGGATGTGTAGTTTTGCCAGTCTGCTTAGACGTGTAGTTTTCCCACTCTAGGATGTGTAGTTTTGTCACTCTGGGAGGTGTAGTTTTGCCACTCTGCTGGGATGTGTAATCTTGCCAGTCTGCTTAGATATGTAGTTTTCCCACTCCGGGATGTGCATTTTGTCACTCTGGGATGTGTAGTTTTGCCACTCTGCTGGGATGTGTAGTTTTGCCAGTCTGCTCAGATATGTAGTTTCGCCACTCCGGGATGTGCAGTTTTGTCACTCTGGGAGGTGTAGTTCTGCCACGCTGCTTGTATGTGTAGTTTTGCCAGTCTGCTTAGACATGTAGTTTTGCCACTCCAGGATGTGTACCTTTGTCACTCTGGGAGGTGTAGTTTTGCCACTCTGCTGGGATGTGTAGTTTTGCCAGTCTGCTTAGACATGTAGTTTTCCCACTCTGGGATGTGTACTTTTGTCACTCCGGGAGGTGTAGTTTTGCCACTCTGCTGGGATGTGTAATTTTGCCAGTCTGCTTAGATATGTAGTTTTCCTACTCCGGGATGTGTAGTTTTGTCACTCTGGGAGGTGTAGTTTTGCCACTGCTGAGATGTGTAGTTTTGCCATTCATTCTGCTGAGATATGTAGTTTTCCCACTCCAGGATGTGTACTTATGCCACTCCGGGATGTGTAGTTTTGCCACTCCGGGATGTGTAGTTTCTCATCCCAGGATGTGTAGTTTTGCAAGGTTCTGATACCACTTTAACTCCATGATACGGAACCTTAGGGTTGTATCTACACACACCATAGAATGACTTCAGTTTAACGCCACTTCAGCTCCATTCCTTAATAATCCTTGGGAGTTGTAGATTTGCAAGTTCCATAGTCGCATCTATGTGGTAGACCAAAGACTATTTGACGCCACTTCCAAATCCATTCTCTATAATCCGTGGGCATTGCAGTTTTGCAAGGTCCACCGCTATCTCTGGGCTCTAAGCTGTGGAACCCTTTTGACCTTGTCAAAACCACAACTCCCAGGGTCCCATCGCAGCCAAAGTGGTACAAAGCCGCATCGATTTGGACAGTGTGGACGCACCCAAGAGCCTGGGAGATGGAGTATTTGCCCCTTTCCATTTAATGCACGCTTTTCTTTCTCCTTCTTTGCATGGACTAATTAATGCTATTTGCAACCTTGATTATATTTTAATTTTTTTATAATTTCCGTGTAGTTCTTAGTCTTTCCGTTCCTTTCCGGTTCTCCCTTTTCCAGCCCTTCCTTTGTGCATTTGGAGTTGCAGATTCCTATGATTCTCCATAATTTTGCAATATTTATATATATATGTATATATATTTGTAAAAAATAATTGTTATTTCGATAGATGTCCCATTGTGTGATTGTATTTCGTGTCCTATATTTGAATCCAGTATGTGCTGATTTATGCATAAAATGGAATTATTTTGCCGTTTCTGGCAACCAATTGGACCTGAATCAAGTGGAAAGAATGTTTGAATAATAATAGCGATTATTATTATTATTATTATAATTTCCATCTCAATAAATGATAACTGGTATTATTATTATTATTATTATTATTATTATTATTTCCATCTTAATAAATGAGTATTATTATTATTATTATTATTATTATTATTATTTCCATCTCAGTAAATGATAACAGGTATTATTATTATTATTATTATTATTTCCATATTAATAAATGATAACTGGTATTATTATTATTATTATTTATTATTATTATTATTATTTCCATCTCAATAAATGATAACTGGTATTATTATTATTATTATTATTATTATTATTTTATATTATTATTATTATTATTATTATTATTATTTCCATCTCAGTAAATGATAACAGGTATTATTATTATTATTATTATTATTATTATTATTTCCATATTAATAAATGATAACTGGTATTATTATTATTATTATTATTATTATTATTATTATTATTATTATTATTTCCATCTCAATAAATGATAACTGGTATTATTATTATTATTATTATTATTATTATTATTATTATTTCCATCTTAATAAATGATAACTGGTATTATTATTATTATTATTATTATTATTATTATTATTATTATTATTATTATTATTTCCATCTCAATAAATGATAACTGGTATTATTATTATTATTATTATTATTATTATTATTATTATTTCCATCTTAATAAATGATAACTGGTATTATTATTATTATTATTATTATTACTATTTCCATCTCAATAAATAATAACTGGTATTATTATTATTATTATTTCCATCTTAATAAATGATAACTGGTATTATTATTATTATTTCCATTTTAATAAGTGATAACTATTATATGTATTATTATTTCATCTTAATAATGATAAATAGCTTCTATTATTGCCTAGAATAATATATAATAATAATAATAATAATAATAATATTGATAGATTTGTGTAAATAAAATGGTAGATGATATTAAAACAAAGGACTTCCTGTGCAAGAATATCACAGATTTGCATTGGAGGACCTAGAAAATGCCTAGAGATGACATATTTATCAGGGAAAGAACGGTGAAGATAATAGCGGATCATGAATGCCATAGAGTTGTGCTAGAGGACCCAGAAAATGCCTAGAAAAGACATACTTATTGGGGAAATGACAGCGCAGATAATAGCGGGCCATGATTCCATAGAGTTGAGCTGGAGGACCAATTAAATGCCTAGAGAGGACACACTAATCGGGACCATGAATGCCATAGAGTTGAGCTGGAGGACCTAAAATGGTTAGAGAGGACATACTTGTTGGGGAAAGAACACTGCAGATAATATCGGGACAAAAACACCATAGAGTTGTACCAGAGGACCAAAAAGTGCCTAGAAAGGGCATACTTATTGGAGAAAGAACAGCACAGATCATAGTGGACTATGAATGCCATGGAGTTGAGCTGGAGGACCTAGAAAATGCCTAGAGAGACCATACTTGTTGGGGAAAGGACACCGCAGATAACAGTGGGCCGTGGATGCCATAGAGTTGTACTGGAAGACCTAGAAAATGCCTAGAGAGGGCATACTTATTGGAGAAAGAACAGCACAGATCGTAGTGGAGTATGAATGCCATAGAGTTGAGCTGGAGGTCCTAGAAAATGCCTAGAGAGACCATACTTATTGGGGAAAGGACACCACAGATAACAGTGGGCCATGGATGCCATAGAGTTGTACTGGAAGACCTAGAAAATATCTAGAGAGGGTATACTTATTGGAAAAATAATAGCACAGATCATAGTGGACTATGAATGCCATAGAGTTGAGCTGCAGGACCTAAAAGTGCCTAGAGAGGACATACTTATTGGGGAAAGGACACCGCAGATAACAGTGGGCTGTGGATGCCATAAAGTTGTACTGGAAGACCTAGAAAATGTCTAGAGAGGGCATACTTATTGGAAAATGCCATAGAGTGATGCAGGAGGACCCACAAAATGCCTAGAGAGGACACACCTATTGAGGAAAGAACAGCACAGATAACAGCACCAATTGTATTTTCCGATCCTTTTCCTGAATCCCACCATTTTGGACTTGTATTTGTTTATGTCTATCAATTTTAGGGAACGGTAAGCGACTAGATTCTGTAAGAGCTGTTTCAGACTCGTCTGCAAGGAAGAGATCAGCACCATATCATCGGCGTAGAGAGGAACATTAAGATATCCATTCCCTACCTTAGAAGAACAATATTAACCAACATAAATTTAACAGTATTTTAGTGGAAGACCCGCAGAGCCATCCGGTCCAGCCCCGTCTGCCATGCAGAAAAGGCACAATCAAAGCACTCCCAACAGATGGCCAACCTTTGTAGTAGTAATAGTAGTACTAATATATATAAATAAAAATGTAGTGTTCGTTTGTGGGATTAGCGTAACTCAAAAACCACTGGACGAATTGACACCAAATTTGGACACAAGACACCTAACAACCCAATGTATGTCCTTCACTCAAAAAATTGATTTTGTCATTTGGGAGTTGTAGCTGCTGGGATTTATAGTTCACCTACAATCAAAGAGCATTCTGAACCCCACCAACGATGGAATTGAACCAAATTTGGTACACAGAACTCCCATGACAAACAGAAAATACTGGAAGGGTTTAGTGGGCAGTGTCCTTTGGTTTTGGAGTTGTAGTTCACCTACATCCAAAGATGACTGTGGACTCAAACAATGATGGATCTGGACCAAACTCTACACCAATACTCAATATGCCCAAATGTGAACACTGGTGGAGTTTGGGAAAAATAGAATCTTGACATTTGGGAGTTGTAGTTGCTAGGATTTATAGTTCACCAACAGTCAAAGAGCATTCTGAACCCTACCAACGATGCAATTGGGCCAAACCTCCCACACAGAACCCCCATGACCACCAGAATGGGCCACAGCAACGCGTGGCAGGGGATGGCTAGTCTATATAAATACAAATGTAATGTTTGTTTGTGGGATTAACATAACTCAAAAACCACTGGACGAATTGACACCAAATTTGGACACAAGACACTTCTCAGGCCAACGAGTGACCATCACTCATAAACACCCTAAATTGGGCATAGGTGAAGAGAGGAAACTTGAGAATAGCGCTGGAGGACCACAGAAATGCCCAGAGGGGTGGTCTTTTGGGTTTTTTTTTTAACCCCTGTGTGTATCTTTTCCTTTGCGGCCGGGCAGCAGTCCCAGTCCTTGTACTTTCACAAGGAGCTGATGAAGAGGACGCTGGGCCGGCCCACGTACGCGGTTGAGGCCAGGGCCTACGTCGTAAGTCTGCGCACGGTGTGTAAGCCCCACCATAGAGCCGTTGGGAGGGACGCCCACTTACGGCGCCGCAAGAGGAAAATTTGGGGCTCCGGGGAGGGATGTTGGGCTGGAAATCCAAATTTGGAGAGCTTCATAAACCGTAAATGGCCCTCTTGCCCGTCGTCAGTGCGAGTCGTAGTTTTCCGTGGCTACGCAATAACAACTAGGGGCTTCGCTGGCTTTCTTCACGCGCTCGAGTGTGTTATTGCCGCTTGTGGGTCATAGGCTTCCTCCATCCGCTCCTTGCAATTAAAAACTATATAAAAACTATAGGGGAACCCCCAAATCCTGGGATAATATGGAAATGAAGGATTTGGAATTGCGCTGGGGGGCCTAGAAAATGCCTAGAGAGGACAGATTTGGATAAATGAATCCACAGATGTGTGAAAATTCTATTGAAAGGAAGGACTCCTTGCGCAATACTGCCATAGAGTTGCAGTAGAGGACCTATAAAATGCCTAGAGAGGACAGGTTTGGACAAATGAATCCACAAATGGGAGCAAATTTGATTGAAAGGAAGGCCTTCTTGTGCAATAGTGCCATACAGTTGTGCTAGAGGACCTAGAAAATGCCTAGAGAGGACAGATTTGGATAAACGAATCCACAGATGGGAGCAAATTCTATTGAGAGGAAGGACTTCTTGTGCAATAGTGCCATAGACTTGCGCTGGAGGACCTAGAAAATGTCTAGAGAGGACGAATTTGGATAAATGAATCCATGGGTGCAAATTCTATTGAGAGGAAGGACTTATTCCACAATACTGCTATAGAGTTGCGCTGGAGGACTTAGAAAATGCCTAGAGAGGGCATATTTGGATAAATGAATCCACAGATGTGTGAAAATTCTATTGAAAGGAAGGACTCCTTGCGCAATACTGCCATAGAGTTGTACTAGAGAACCTATAAAATGCCTAGAGAGGACAGATTTGGATTAATGAATCCACAAATGGGAGGTAATCCTATTGAGAGGAAGGACTTATTCCCCAATATTGCTATAGAGTTGCGCTAGAGGACCTAGAAAATGCCTAGAGAGGACAGATTTTGATAAACAAATCCACACTTGGGAGCAAATTCTATTGAGAGGAAGGTCTTCTTGCGCAATAGTGCCATACAGTTGTGCTAGAGGACCTAGAAAATGCCTAGAAAGGACAGATTTGGATAAACGAATCCACAGATGGGAGCAAATTCTATTGAGAGGAAGGACTTCTTGTGCAATAGTGCCATAGACTTGCGCTGGAGGACCTAGAAAATGTCTAGAGAGGACGAATTTGGATAAATGAATCCATGGGTGCAAATTCTATTGAGAGGAAGGACTTATTCCACAATACTGCTATAGAGTTGCGCTGGAGGACTTAGAAAATGCCTAGAGAGGGCATATTTGGATAAATGAATCCACAGATGTGTGAAAATTCTATTGAAAGGAAGGACTCCTTGCGCAATACTGCCATAGAATTGTACTAGAGAACCTATAAAATGCCTAGAGAGGACAGATTTGGATTAATGAATCCACAAATGGGAGGTAATCCTATTGAGAGGAAGGACTTATTCCCCAATATTGCTATAGAGTTGCGCTAGAGGACCTAGAAAATGCCTAGAGAGGACAGATTTTGATAAACAAATCCACACTTGGGAGCAAATTCTATTGAGAGGAAGGTCTTCTTGCGCAATAGTGCCATACAGTTGTGCTAGAGGACCTAGAAAATGCCTAGAAAGGACAGGTTTGGATAAACGAATCCACAGATGGGAACAAATTCTATTGAGAGTAAGGGCTTCTTCCGCAATAGTGCCATAGAGTTGCGCTGGAGGACCAAGAAAATGCCTAGAGAGGACAGACTTGGAAAAATAAATCCACAGATGGGAGGAAATTCTACTGAGAGTAAGGACTACTTGAGCAATACTGCCAAAGAGTTGCGCTGAAGGACCTAGAAAATGTCTAGAGAGGACAGATTTGGATAAATGAATCCACAGGTGGGAGCAAATTCTATTGAAAGGAAGGACTTATTGCACAACAGTGCCATAGAGTTGCGCCAGAGGACCTAGAAAATGCCTAGAGAGGACAGATTTGGATAGATAAATTCTATTGAGAGGAAGGACTTCTTGCGCAATAGTGCCATAGAGTTGCGCGGGAGGACCTAGAAAATGCCTAGAGAGGACAAATTTGGATAAACGAATCCAGAAATGGGAGAAAATTCTATTGAGGGGAAGGACTTCCTGAGCAATAGTGCCATAGAGTTGCGCTGGAGGACCTAGAAAATGCCTAGAGAGGACAGATTTGGTCAGAACTAGATAAATAAAACCACAGTGAGAGGAAATTCTATTGAAAGGAAGGACTTCCTGTGCAGTGGAGTCATATAGAGTTGCAAAGGAGAATCTAGAAAATACTTGATGGTGATGGTTGCAACCCAACCCTAGATTTCAGGGCAACTTTGTTATCATTTCTTCATTGCAACTTCCAATTGATTACCATTAAGAAAGCCCCACTTGGCGCATGTTTCCGTGTTGGCAAACATTTCCAGCATTATTTTCGGAGTCGCTTTAGATGAGCCAGAAACCCTTTTCACAAGCCTGCTGTCGTAGCTCCTCTAGGCATGTACTTGTGTTGGTGTCTTGCCCGTCAGCCTTTCCGTAAAAGAAAAAAAAAAATCCAAATTTGACGACTGAAACGGGGCAGCCTCTGGTGTCGTTTTTGTGGCCGTGGCCCGTAGCGCATGCCTTGGGCATAGAGGCTTCCCGTAAGCTCTCCTCCTCTCCATTGTCTGTGGGATCCGTCGCACGGCTCTCCGTCCATTCGTTCGTCTATTTGTGCAAAAGTTCACAGGACTATCTTCTCAATTTCTGCAGAGTGGGCCCAAATATATTATATTAAAGCGTTTCAAATGTTTAAAAGCAATGCTTTTGGCAAAATGGCACGACCTAAAAGAGCAGAACAGACAACTCCGCATCTGTGTGCTTGTCCACGATGCCCTGCCTCATGTACAGAGGAAGAATTGTTGGAGGCTACAGACAATGCTGTTGCTGTTGCCTGTTTTTGGTCAAAAAGATATTTAGTCGACTGCGCTCCTTCTATTTTTATCATACCAATTTATCCAAAATGGCACGACCTAAAATAATCCCACACCTTGTGTGACTGTGGAGCAGAACAGACAACTCCGCATCTGTGTTCTTGTCCACGATGCCCTGCCTCATGTACAGAGGACGAATTGCTGGAGGCTACAGACAATGTCGTTGCTGTTGCCCGTTTCTGGTCAAAAGATATTGAGCCACCTGCGCTCCTTCTATTTTTATTAGTTTTATACTAATTTATGCAATGCTTTTGATACGAAATAAATGAATAAATATTATATTATATATAGAGAGAGAGATCCCCAAATTACAAACATTTGTTTATTTACAGTATTTATATTCCACCCTTCTCACTTCGAAGGGGACTCAGAGCAGAACACAGAACATATACTGCAAGCATTCAATGCCAATTATACACTGACGAGACAGACAATTGTACATAGATAGAGGAATATATAGGTGTTTCCCATCTTCGGCGTCTTGGAGGCTGTGCTCAGTTCCGGTCACCAGGGGGTGCTGTCGCTCCTTTGTTTGTAAACTTCCTCCCTGATCAAACGGCCGCCATTTATGGGTTCCTTCAATACCTTCCTGCTTAAGCAGTACCTATTTATCTACTCACATGTTTTCAAACTGCTAGGTAGGCAGAAGCTGGGCTAAAGACCAGGAGCTCACCAACACCCAGGTTTTAAACTGTCAACCTTTCAGTTGGCAAGATTTACTGCAGCTGGTGGTTAACCTGCTGTGCTAAAGCTCGACTTACAAATGAAATTATTTGAGAGGGCTTATTTTGTTAGGTGTGGGTGAATAAATACAACCACCGATCACGCTATGTCACAAAACTTGCAATTTTTTTCCTGTTCCTGGTTCAAAAGCGTTATTTCCTGTTTGATTGTGCGCTCCTTCCTTTGAAAGTCTGTGTTCCGCTCCAAAAACATTGTTTTTGTGGCTATTTTTAACCTTTCTCACAACTTTTGTGCAGACTGCAGAAACAAAGTCTTTGCAGCGTGATACACTTTCCCCAACGTTTTGATGATAGAACCAATTAGGAAATGGCATTGATAAGCCAGGAACAGAAAATCATAGTGATACATAGTGCAATAGTGAAATGAAGGACCAAGAGCATCAGGGCTTAGAAAATGCTGAGAAAGGACAACCTTCCGTCAAATGTGGATCAATGAAAGCCTATTGGAAAGAAGGGCTTCCATTGCACGGCACAGGGCGCATCTACACTGCAGACTTAACGCAGTTGGACGCCACTTGTCACTTCTCAAGGCGACGGCTTCCCGAGAGTTGGAAGTTTGATGGCGAAGGCCAAAGAACTACAACTCCCAGGATTTGGGGGATAACGTTGCGCGATAATTTCCTCGCCGTCTTGTGAACTTTGGGCACGGACGTGCAAAAGCTTCCCACGGCTGCGTGCGGAGACCAGCGTGTGCTTGTGTGTCCGACGTGCAAATCGCTGTTAGTGCCTCCACGGATTTGAACGCTGCTCCTCCGCCTTCTGACACACCCTTCTCTCTTTCTCTCTCTTTTCTTCCCTTCTTCGCACTTCTCCGTTTTCACTGAAGCTCTCGCTCAAGCTGGTAAGCACAATCCTCGCACGTTTGCCCTCCCTTTCGATTGATTTTTTTGCACTAATTTCCTTACACGCAATTGACTAGCCACTTGCCTTGAAAACTCTTAAGTTTTGTGTATGTGTGTATGTATATATATATGTATAGATATGTCTCTGTGTGTGTCTTACTCATTATTTTATATGCAGATCAATACCCACCTACCCTGAAATTAACTTTAAATTTTTCTGTTATTTTTTGTGTCTATTACATATGAAGGGCGTTGATGAAAGATGTCTCCTGACCCACTTCTATTTATTACAGGATGCTGAAATTGCACATGTGTCATGATATACGTCTCTATAGGTTATGTGTCAATGTAGAACTCAGAACTGAGAACGGTCTTGATGTGACAGGTGCTGAAGTGATGTGAGGTTCGATCATGGTTCCAGCAGAATCCAGAGCAGTCCTCAAGTTATTGTAGAAGGCTTTCATGGCTGGAATCACTGGGTTGTTGTAGGTTTTCCGGGCTATATGGCCATGTCCTAGAAGCATTTTCTTATGACATTTCGCCTGCATCTATGGCAGGCATCCTCAGAGCTTGTGAGGTCTGACAACCTCCAAGGATGCTTGCCATATATACAGGCAAAGTGTCAGGAGAGAATGCTTCTAGAACATGGCCATATAGTCCGGAAAACCTACAACAACCCCGTCCTCAAGTTCCGTTCCTTGAAAGGCCGCACACCAAAGGAGACGTTCGATGAGATGGAAGAGGTTCATGGTGAGGATTCCCCATCACATGATGGAGTCAAGAACTGGCCTCATCCATTCCAATGTGGTCGGACTTCGGTGCAAACAGCTCCACTTCCAGGGTGACCCCTCTCTACTCTTGAGGAACACCATCCAGCAAGTGGAGGTCACCATTTTGGAAAATTGCCACGTATTTCTTTGCCAATGTCAAGATGAGTGTGGGGTCCATGGAAAAAATCACCCAAGACCATCTTCCCATGAGTAAGGAATCCGCTCGCTGGGTCCCCTGGCTGCTCACACCTTTCCAGAAGCAGGAACGAGTCCAATGCTCTTAGATACTCTTGACAATGATGTGCCATGGAAAGCAGGAGGATTTTGTGAACAGACGGATCACACAGGAAGAAAGCTGGGTCCATCCCTCTGATCCTGAGACTCAAGTCCAGTTGATACCATTGAAACCTCCTGACTAATCACCTCCTAAGAAGACCCGTGCCCAACTCTCGGCAGGCAAGAACGGGGCAAATGCTCTCTGGCTCTATTGACGATGATGTGCCATGGAAACCAGGAGGACTTTGTCAACAGAGGGTGAAAGCTGGGTCCATCCCTCTGATCCTGAGACACAAGTCCAGTCAATGCCATGGAAGCATCCCGACTCACCGCCTCCAAAGAAGGCCCGTGCCCAACTCTCGGCAGGCAAGAATGGGGCAAATGCTCTCCAGCTCTATTGACAATGACGTGCCATGGAAACCAGGAGGAATTTTCAAACAGACTGACCACACAGGGTGAAAGCTGAGTCCATCACTCTGATCCTGAGACTCAAGTCCGGTCAATGCCATGGAAGCATCCTGACTCACCGCCTCCAAAGATGGCACGTGCCCAACTCTCAGCAGGCAAGAATGGGGCAAATGCTCTCTGGCTCTCTTGACGATGACGTGCCATGGGAACCAGGAGGACTTTGTCAACAGAGGGTGAAAGCTGGGTCCATCCCTCTGATCCTGAGACTCAAGTCCAGTCAATGCCATGGAAGCATCCTGACTCACCGCCTCCAAAGAAGGCCCGTGCCCAACTCTCTGCAGGCAAGAACGGGGCAGATGCTCTCTGGCTCTCTTGATGATGACGTGCCATGGAAACCAGGAGGACTTTTCCACAGACTGATCACACAGGGTGAAAGCTGGGTCCATCCCTCTGATCCTGAGACTCAAGTCCAGTTGATGCCATGGAAGCCTCCTGACTCATCACCTCCAAAGAAGGCCCGTGCCCAACTCTCGTGCCCAACTCTCCAGCTCTATTGACGATGACGTGCCATGGTAACCAGTAGGACTTTTCCAGACAGATCACACAGGGCGAAAGCTGGGTCCATCACTCTGATCCTGAGACTCAAGTCCAGTTGATGCCATAGAAGCCTCCTGACTCACTGTCTCCTTCTCGACAGGCAAGAACGGGGCAAATGCTCTCCAGCTCTCTTGACGATGATGTGCCATGGAAACCAGGAGGACTTTGTCAACAGAAGGTGAAAGCTGAGTCAATCGCTCTGATCTTGAGACTCAAGTCCAGTCAATGGAATGGAAGCATCCTGACTCATCACCTCCAAAGAAGGCATGTGCCCAATTCTTGCCAGGAAAGGTCATGCTCAGAGGATTTTGGGTCCAGCACGGAGGAGGATGGATGGAGTTCCTAGCAAAGGGCGCTATGATCACTGGGCCAGACTAGGCTTCACTGCTGCAGACATTGCGGGAGGCCATCAACGCCAAGAGACAACATGGAATGCTCACCAAAGTGGTCCAACTTCTGCAAGACAATGCACCCGTCCACAACTCAGATGTTGCCCAAATGGAAGAAGCATGCTCTTCTGGCTTTGGAATTCAATCACATCCCCCAGGTTCACCTGATGTCACACCATCAGACCTCCACCTCTTTCCAACAAGGAAGTTATTTTGGAAGGGAAGCATTTTTCAGGGGACGAGACTATGATTTCCAAAGTCATAACGTGGCTTTTGGAGCAACCTGTTGACTTCTACAAGCCAGGTGTTTAGAGTTGCTTCAAAAGATGGGAGAAGGTTGTGTCCTAAAGTGGGGCCCATGGAGAGAAGGACTCAGAAGTGGGCCAAGTGGCTCTCAGTCCACAGGAAGCGGGTCAGGGGACATCTTTCATGAACGTCTCTCATATATCTTTTCCTTATTGTTTTCTCTGCAGAGGACCCTGAAATTAATGTTTAATTTTTGTTGTTTTGATATTTCTCATATAATACGAATGTGGAACTCTTAATGGAGGTGATTCCGGTTTTAATACACCTAACGAACCACTGATATAATTAATTTATAGTCAACTTACGAGTAGTTACCCCACTTACAAACAAATCTGCAAACCAAGGTTGATTCTACTTGAGATGTTTTGACCATTCATGTTAGCAAGGAAAGGAGAACGTAGAATGAATTCCAGACGGGATTGCAAATAATCCAGAAGGTAAGATAGTTGTGCGGTGAACACACAACCTGTCCTTCCTCTCCTTTTTGGGGATTCTTTAGGGCGGCGGACCGGAAGATTTCAGCAACCTCCCTCCGGAGCAAAGAAGGAAAAAGCTCCAGCAGAAAGTGGACGAGCTCAACAAGGAGATCCAGAAAGAAGTCGATCAGCGGTAAGGACAGCACAACAATGGGTTGCGTTTCTGGCGCTAATCCAGTACTTCTCCACCTTCCTAATGCCGAGACCCCTTAATCCAGTTCCTCATGTTGTGGTGACCCACAACCATAACATTATTTTTCTTGCTGCTTCACCACTGTCATTTTGGTACTGTTATGAACCATAATATAAACATTTGATATGCAGGATGTTGGTCCACATTTGGCACAAATACCCAATACGCCCAAATCTGAATACTGCTGGGGTTGATTTTGTCAATATGCCCAAATGGGAACACTGGTGGAGTTTGGGGAAAATAGACCTTGGCATTTGGGAGTTGCTGTGGCTGGGATTTATAGTTCACCCATAAGCAAAGAGCATTCTGAACCCCACCAATGGAATTGGGCCAAACTTGGCACACTGAACCCCCATGACCAACAGAAAATACTGTGTTTTCTCATGGTCTTTGGTGACCCCTCTGACACCCCCTCGTGATGGTCTTTGGTGACTCCTCTGACACCCCCTCGTGATGGTCTTTGGTAACCCCTCTGACACCCCCTCGTAATGGTCTTTGGTGATCCCTCTGACACCCCCTCGTGACCCCTCCCCCCAGGTTGAGAAACACTGACTTAGGTGGAGAGTACGCTAGGCTTAAGAGTCGGGTTCTCAATCCAACTCAGGATTTGAACTTGCCACCTTCCGGTTGGCAGTGTTCTGTTGCTGCTGGTGATTTACCCAGCGGTGCTACAGCCCAACCCTTACAGCCCTTGACGCCTCTCCTCCTTGCAGAGAAGCCTTAACGAAGATGAAGGACGTCTACATCAAGAACCCGCAGATGGGGGACGCGGGTAGTGTGGAGCACAAGCTGGCCGAGCTTGGACAGAACCTTGAGAGGCTGCGGCAGGAGGCCCAGAAGTTCGAGGTATGGCCAAGAGCGTCAAGCTGCGGCAACAAAGGCCAATGTGATCCCAAGCCGAGCGTGTAAGATTTTACGACACTAAAGCGTGCCTTTCCCCCCGACAGGGTTGGCTAGCAGAGGTCGAAGGCCGGCTACCTGTGAAGACGGAGCCTGTGCGGCGACAGAGCGGGGTCTGCGAGTCCCAAAACACGCTCACCGTCAACAACTGCGCCCAGGACCGCGAGAGGTACAGTAGGGATTTCCGCCTGTCGTACCTTTGGCTTTGATTCTGCATCCAGTGCAGGTTGAGCGATTCCAACCCCCCAATGGGAAAGAACGATGGGCTACGTAGTCTTTCCACCCTGGCTCCCGGCCCATGGCTATAGTTGTTGTGTTTCTTTCCTGTGTTGAGCAGTCCGGATGGCAGTTACACAGAGGAGCCGAGCCAGGAGAGTGAGGTCAAGGTGCCGGCCGTGTCCGAGTTCGACGACGAGTTTGACGACGAGGAGCCCCTGCCCACCATCGGGACCTGCAAAGCGCTCTACACCTTCGAAGGTCAGGCCTGAATCCTCATGCAAGTGAAGGGAGGCTGGGTGGCCATCTGTCAGGAGGGCTCGGGTGGCGTCCTCCTGCCTGGACTGGGTGACCTTTAGGGTCCCTCCCAACTCTAGGATACGGAGTCTGATGAAATCTAGTTGTTTTCAATATTCCACATTTATTTCTTAATTTGTTGGTGGCACTGTTTAAATGACATATATTCCACCTATTGATCGATTTATTTACTCCCAGTAGTGATTGCCAACACGTGTGCTCAAAGACCTAACACACGTATATTATTGTTGCTGGCCGTTGGGAGGGAGGGATGGAATGGTGTCTCCCTGCAGAATAGAAAGGGTAGGACTGGATGACCTTTAGGGTCCCTTTCATCCCAAGGATTTGGAGAGCGATGACGTCTAATTTGGGGGTTTTCTATAGAGACTGGATGGCCGTCTGTTGGGAGGACCTGAATTGTGTCTTCCTGGATGGGCTAAGTGACCTTTCGGGGTCCCCTTCTGACTCTAGGATTCAGATTTTGGTGGAGCTTGTTATGGCCATCTGTCAGAAGGACTTCAATCGTGTCTTCCTGTATAAGTAAAATGGAGTGGGACTGGATGACCTCTGGGTGCCCCATTCTGGGATCCCTAGAAAAGAGATTAGATGCCCGTCAATGGGGAAGGCTCAAATGGTGTCTTCCTGTATAAATAGAATGGGGTTTGGACTAGATGACCTCTGGATGCCCCTTTCTGATTCCGGGATCCTTTGAAAAGTGACAGATCCATCTCTGTGATTTTTCTCTCCAGGGCAGAACGAAGGGACGATTTCGGTGACGGAAGGCGAGACGCTCTTTGTGATCGAGGAGGACAAGGGTGATGGCTGGACGCGCATCCGGCGCAGCGAGGAGGAGGAAGGCTACGTCCCAACCTCCTACGTCGAGGTCTACCTGGAGAAGAATGCCAAAGGTGCCATGACTTACATTTAATTCCCCCGCTAAGAGCCTTGCCCCGTCCGCAAAGGGGGCTGCCGCCGCTTGCCAATGGGTCCGGAGCGCCACGCAAGGCGCGCCGAAACGCACGACGGAGGAGAGACCGCCCCAAGAAGGTCTATAGGGCGGAAACATATGTATTTCTTGACTGACAGAAAAAGATTGGGAGAGAATTCATTTGGGTTGACGAGACGACCCCCGTATCCAAGCTCCCAATTTCTGCATAGATACACAAAACCCCCAATTGTATTGGAGGGCCTAGAAATTCGAATTCAGCATATAATCCAGTTGAGTTGAATGGACGACCCCCGTATCCATGCTCCCAAATTCTGCATAGATACATAAAAACACCTCTAAGTACCATATAGTTGAATTGCAGGATCTAGACATTTGAATTCAGCATATAATCCAGTTGAGTCTATAGGACGACCCCCGTATCCATGCGCCCAAATTTTGCATAGATACATAAAAATACCTCTAAGTACCATATAGTTGAATTGGAGGATCTATAAATTTGATTTCAGCATATAATCCAGTTGAGTTGACGGGACGACCCCGTATCCGTGCTCCCAAATTCTGCATAGATAAATAAAAACACCTATAAGTACCATATAGTTGAATTGGAGGGCCTAGAAATTTGAATTCAGCATATAATCCAGTTGAGTTGATAGGATGACCCAGTATTCATGCTCCCAAAATCTGCATAGATACATAAAAACACCTCTAAGTACCATATAGTTGCATTGGAGGATCTAGAAATTCGAATTCAGTATGTAATCCAATTGAGTTAATGGGACGACCCAGTATCTGTGCTCCAAAATTCTGCATAGATACATAAAAATAACTATAAGTACCATATAGTTGAATTGGAGGGCCTAGAAATTTGAATTCAGCATGTGTATCCGTGCTCCCAAATTCTGCATAGATACACCTATAAGTACCATATAGTTGAATTGGAGGATCTAGAAATTCAAATTCAGCAGGTATTCCAATTGAGTCAACAGGACGACCCTGTATCCGTGCTCCCAAATTCTGTATAGATACATAAAAACACCTATAAGTACCATTTAGTTGAATTGGAGGGCCTAGAAATTCGAATTCAGCATGTATTCCAATCGAGTCAACAGGCCGACCCAGTATCCGTGCTCCCAAATTCTGCGTAGATACACAAAATCCCTGATAAATGCCATATAGTTGCATTTGAGGGCCTAGAAATTCGAATTCAGTATGTATTCCAATTGAGTTAATTAGATGACCCTGTATCTGTGCACCCAAATTCTGCATAGATACATAAAAACACCTATAAGTACTATATAGTTGCATTGGAGGGCCTAGAAATTTGAATTCAGCATGCAATCCAATTGCGTCAACAGGGCAACCCCCGTATCCATGCTCCCAAATTCTGCATAGATACACAAAAAAAACCTATTAAGTACCATATAATAGTTCCATTGAAGGAGCCAGAAATCCCTGAATAACGAGATATTTTGTCAGGAGCACATAAACGAAACCGTGGATAATACCACACCCTGATTTCCTGCCCAAGAGTAGCATAAAGTTGTGCGGGAGGACCTAGAAAATGCCTAGAAAATCAGTATTTTGAAGGATGCAGATTGATGAAACCGTGGATCCGTGGGCCGTCCAGCATTTGGAATTCTCTCCTGACCTAATGAGGCAAAATGCTTAGGATCTTCAGCCTTAAACGAATCTATTTCCACTTGTGTCTTTTTTCGGGGTGGAAAAATGGCGTCGCTTTGGGGTTTTTGCCTAATTAATGAAAAACTTGACGAGGAAGAAGACGGGAAGGGACTTTCTGACGTATTTAACGGTCGCGAAATGTAACTTAGAGACATGTCCTTCCCGATTTTCCGGACGGAGCCGATGCACTTTGAAAAGCGGAGAAGAAACGCTTTTGCCAACTTTTTTTTCTTTTTGGGTTGTTTCTTGCCACCTGATCATGGCGATTATTATTTTGTACTAATTATCAATAATAGATGTCGTTGTGTATATATATCATAACATCGTTCGTAGTTCATTCCGAAAGCAAGACTTCGAATTTCCCTTTATTCCATTCAAGGGGTGTTCATGAAAGATGTCCCCTGACCCACTTTCTGTGGACTGAGAGCAATGCAACTTGGCCCAGTTTGGAGTCCGTCACTCCATCAGTCCCACCCAGGAACACACCTTTCTCCCATTATTTGAAGCCACCTCGCTTGTAGAAGTTGACAGGTTGCTCCAAAAGCCACATTGTGATGTCAAAAATCAGAGTCTCATCACCTGAAAAAGGCTTCCCCTTCCATCCTCCTCTGTGCTGGTCCCAAAATACTATGAGCATGACCTTCCCAAGAGTTGGGCACAAGCCTTCTTTGGAGGCCTCCATTGCATCGACTGGACTTGAGTCTCAGGATCAGAGGGATGGACCCAGCTTTCACCCTCTGTGGACAAAGTCCTCCTGGTTTCCATGGCACGTCATCATCAAGAGAGCCGGAGAGCATTTGCCCCGTTCTTGCCTGCCAAGAGTTGAACACGTGCCTTCTTTGGAGGCGGTGAGTCAGGAAGCACCCATTGCATCAACAGGACTTGAGTCTCAGGATCAGAGTGATGGGCCCAGCTTTCACCCTGTGTGATCCGTCTGTGGAAAAGTCCTCGTGGTTTCCATGGCACGTCATCGTCAATAGAGCTGGAAAGCATTTACCCCATTCTTGCYTGCCAAGAGTTGAGCATGTGCCTTCTTTGGAGGTGGTGAGTCAGGAGGCTTCCATGGCATCGACTGGACTTGAGTCTCAGGATCAGAGGGATGGACCCAGCTTTTACCCTCTATTGACAAGATCCTCCTGGTTTCCATGGCACGTCATTGTCAACAGAGCCGGAGAGCATTTGCCCCATTCTTGCCTGMTGAGAGTTGGGCATGTGCCTTCTTTGGAGGTGGTGAGTCAGGAGGCTTCCATAGCATCAACTGGACTTGAGTCTCAGGRTCAGAGGGATGGACCCAGCTTTTACCCTCTGTTGACAAAGTCCTCCTGGTTTCCATGGCATGCCATCGTCAATAGAGCCGGAGAGCATTTGCCCTGTTCTTGCCTGCYGCGAGTTGGGCATGGACCTTCTTTGGAGGCAGTGAGTCGGGATGCTTCCATGGCATCAACTGGACTTGAGTCTCAGGATCAGAGGGATGGACCCAGCTTTCACCCTCTGTTAACAAGATCCTCCTGGTTTCCATAGCACATCATTGTCAATACAGCTGGAAAGCATTTGCCCCATTCTTGCCTGTCGAGAGTTGGGCACGCACTTTCTTTGGAGGCAGTGAGTTGGGATGTTTCCATGGCATCAACTGGACTTGAGTCTCAGGATCAGAGGGATGGACCCAGCTTTCACCCTCTGTTGACAAGATCCTCCTGGTTTCCATGGCACATCATCGTCAAGACAGCCTGAGAGCATTCAACTCATTCCTGCATCTGGAAAGGTGTGAGCAGTTGGCGGACCCAGCGAGCGGATTCCTTATGCATGGGAAGATGGTTTTGGGTGTTTTTTTTCCACAGACCCCACAGTCATCTTGACACTGGCGAAGAGATACGTGGCGATTTTCCAAAATGGCGACCTCCACTTGCTGGATGGTGTGTTCCTCAAGAGCAGAGTGGGGTCACCTTGGAATTGGAGCTGTTTCCACTGAACTCCGACCACATTGGAATGGACGATGCCAATTCTTGACTCCATCATCGACTGGACTTGAGTCTCAGGATCAGAGTGATGGACCCAGCTTTCACCCTGTGTGGTCCGCATGTGGAAAAGTCCTCCTGGTTTCCATGGCATGTCATCGTCAAGAGAGCATTCAACTCATTCCTGTTTCTAAAAGATGTGAGCAGCCGGAGGACCCAGCGAGCAGAGACCTTATGCATGGGAAGATGGTCTTGGGCGGGTTTTCGCACGGACCCCACACTCATCTTGACATTTTTGGCTCGGTGGCGGATGTTTATACGGTCATTTTCCAAAATGGAGACCTCCACTTGCTGGATGGTGTGTTCCTCAAGAGCAGAGTGGGGTCGTCCTGGAATGGGAGCTGAAGTCTGACCACATTGGAATGGACGATGACAGTTTGTGACTCCATCATCTGATGGGGAATCCTCACCATGAACCTCTTTCATCTCATCGAACGTCTCCTTTGGTGTGTGGCCTTGCTGGGTCCATTCTCAAATCTCACACCACTTCAGCACCTGTCACATCCAGACCGTTCTCAGTTCTGAGTTGTACATTTGCACATAATCTATAGAGACTTCTATCGTGACACATGGGAAGTTTCAGCATCCTGTGAAAAATAGAAGTGGGTCAGGGGAACTCTTTCATGAACGCCCCTCGTAGTTAATTGAATCCCAAGATCAACGAGACTTGAATCTCCTTTGATCCCGACTTGGTGGAGCCTTTTCGTTTTTTGTAACGCAATTCAATCCTAACCTAATTGAAAAATATTCCTTTTTTAAAAATATCATTCAAAGCTGTTTTCTTTCCTCCTTTTTTCTTTGCCGTTCCAGAGTCGGCGTTATGAGGTTTGTTTACAAATCTAGACATTCTTTTTTACCCATTTCTTTAAATCTCGAAGGCGTTCCTCTTAGCTGTGTACCTCCGCTCTGCTTTCCCGCAATCATAATAAAAAGACAGACATGTTTTATTTTTCTCAAGGTTGTGGGATTGTTCTTTGAATGGGCTGCAAAATGGCTTCTGTCTCGTTCTGCTTCTTTGGAAATGAGCCCCGATTAGATTGCGCTGCTTTCCCATTTCTCTTGGCTGCTTCGTAAAAGGTCCCGGTTTTCTCTCCTTTCCTCCGCCTTCGTCATCCGCTTTATCGAATTGCTGCAAAGTGCAAAGATTTTGCAATATGCTTACAAAACGGGAGGTTGATTCCTCAATTGCTATTGTCAAAGGCTTTTATGGCTGGAATCACTGGGTTGTTGTGTATTTTCCAGGCTGTATGGCCATGTTCCAGAAGCGTTCTCTCCTGACGTTTTGCCCACATCTATGGCAGGCATGCTCAGAGGTTGTGAAGTCTGAAACTGATTGAATTTGCAGCTGCAAGGCTATTCAATGCTAATCAAGGTGGCCTATGGCAACGTTCACTTGCTTCACTACCTCTATGTAGATACCCTCACTGATTGACTTTGCAGCTGCAAGGCGACTCAATGCTGATCAAGCTGGCCAGTGGCAACGTTCACACTTGCCTCCAACAGACAAGGGTTGTTTCTTCCACCCTGGACATTATTCCACAGGGATATATACACTCCACTTGCTTCACTATCTCTATGTAGATACCCTCACTGATTGACTTTGCAGCTGCAAGGCTATTCAATGGTAATCAAGGTGGCCAATGGCAACGTTCACACTTGCCTCCAACAGACAAGGGT